TATCTTCTATGTCAGGGCCCTTTGGCTTAGTGGCTCAGCCTCAGCTAGTGGGCTGAAAAGAAGCCTAGTGTAGGGGTCCAGATAGAATATAGTGGGGGGACTAGGTTTGGGGTTCTTATCCTTGGATTATTTTGGGGACTATAAGGTGGGAATGGGGCCAGGTATGGGTCTCTAGAAGAAACTAGCCAGACAGCAGAAAAGAGCGGTGGATGCTGTAGCATCAGGGGAGACCCAGGGGCCACTCCCTAGTCAAAGCCCCCAGCCTCTGTCCCTGGGGCTGTGACCAGATCTTAGTGCCTCCTTCCTATTTCTCAGTCCTGCCCTGCCCTCCTCCAAGTCTGTCAGCCTCCTGGGTAGCTGTAGCCCAAGCAGTAGGCTCAGTGATTCTGCATCCCCAATCCCTTGCCTTCCATCCCTTTGAGCACCACAGGACACATCTGGGCATCTGAAAATCACTTTATTGAGAGGTTCTGGACTGGGTCCAAGGGGCCAAAAGCAACCGGCATGAGCTGAAAGCAACCTTGGGTCCAAAGAGGAGCTGCCAGGGCACGATTTGTTTGGGAAGGAGGGGAAGAACCGAAGCCCCCAAGGGCTCAGCCCAATGCACACTCAGGGAAAACAAAAAATAGCCCAAACTCTCTTTACACCGAAAACCCTTAGTTAAAATTAGTTTCCACTTAAAGAAATTAGACTGGATTTGTCTGGATGAAACATGATGAAGTGCTGCAGCTCCCAAACCAGATAGGGAGGACACAAAAAATTGTAACTTGTCTCCATATGTAAACCCTAAAATCCATTCCTCCTCAGCGCTCCTGCCTCCTCAAACTTGCTCAGCATTTAGAGTGACACCTGGGTGGAGTCTGCCTCCATCATGGGTCCCAATCTCAGGGCGGTTCTGGAATACTCAGGGATAGGTCTCAGGTGCCTCCCTACCCACTCAATGCTGGGCGCTGCTTCTTTAGTTCTGGTCAGATCTTAAACCGAAGGAAAGAATAACTAGATTGGGGCTTTGCTGAAGTGTGAGGCTTCTCTGTTGTGTTTCCTTTTTCCTCTAGCCCTTTTTATAGGGTGAGCTGGGGCCAGCATTTTTAATTATAATAGTGGGGAACTATGGACTGTGGCTTTTAATGGGGTTCACACTGACCTCATTAAACTCAAGTTTATTGAAGGCAATACGCTCCCCAAACAGTGATAGGAACCAGCAAGAGGGAAGCGAGAGGTACCCCTATCCTTGCAGAAGTGTGGATGAGGGCTCAATTCTCAGCTCCCACTTTCTCCACTTCCACCCAAGGCTCTGCTTCCTTCCCCCTCCTGGCCCTCCAGGGGATGTGGGGCCCAGTCCCCCAAGGCAGATTCAGCACAGCCAGGGCTGAGGTGGGGGTAGGGGCTGCTTCCTGTGAGGAGACAGCTGCTGGCCTGAGCACTTGAATTTGACCACCAAAGTTTATTCCCGGGCCACCATAAAAGTGAGCCAGGCGGCAACAAGGTGCTGCTGGCGGCCCTATTTCCTTGAAACAAAAAAGAAAGGCAAGAAAGAATATCAAAGAGTTGATGTCTAGGAAACGCTGGGGTTTTCCAACAGAGACTTCTGGAAAGTAATATTCCTCCTCTTAAAAGTAAGGCATGAAGTTTAAAATGTTCTCTAGTGTTGGTATGGCTTAGTTTTTCAACAAATCAAAAAACCCCTAGCAACTGTCAGTTGCTGCTAGGGTCAAGGAAAGAAGGCCCTGGCCACTGAGGTCAGCCAGGCATTTACTGGCAAAAATGCCCATGGTCTGGAGTAGCCTCCCTGCCCAGCCCTGGGTCCAGGCTACCTGGAAGCTTCAGCTGAGATGCTTGTCCCAGGCTGCACCCTCTCAGCCTGTGGATTCTGGCCAGAGCATCAATGCCTCCCCACGCAGGACCCATCTCCGGCCCCCAACCCCTTCCTTGTCAAGCCTGCTCCAGGTGGCTTATTTGTACCTTATCTGGTGGACGCCTGTGGCCCCTCCATCTTCTTTGAGTCCTGGCCTTCACCTGAAATTCTCTGCAGCAGGGCCATCCGGCCCTCCCCACTGGCTCTTGGTGTCCTCAGTCAGCGCCATCAGCCAGCCTGGCCGCTAGCAGGCGGCTGCGGTCTGGGCAGCTATCCCGGTGGCCTGACCAAAGCTAAGGCAGACTCCAGCACCCTTCCCTCCCACACACGGACAACAGGGGCAACTTCAGAAGGGGACAGTGTCTCCTAAATTCTGACCTGGGCAGTTCCCAGAGCAAACTCCCGCACACAGAGTTAGGGCCTCCTGTTAGCTTGTCTACCTCCTCCCACTGCTCTGGGTTCTAGAAAGCAGATCGTGGTAGGGAAAGGAGCCCATCCCACAGACCATGAACTGGGGAGGAAAATGCTGAAAGGAGAAATGGGGCCACATGTGCTCCAATGGGCTTGGATTGTAAATTCAGCCTGTGTGGAGTCAATAAAAAGATAAGCGGAGAGAGTCCCACGCATGGACAACCTCATTTGTTCACAGGCTGGGCCAGCAAGGAGCCTTCATTAGAAATTGGCTTTCACCTTCTTGCCTATATTTCTCTCCCTTACAGTAATATCACTGCCTGCAATAATCCCTTTAGTATGCTTTGGGATTTTCAGGTCAGTGGTTTATCTTGCACCCGGGACACCCCAGCCCCAGCCAGGGAGCAAGATCCTGGGACTGCTAGTTCCTGGTTTCTACCTCTTCTCAGACTTGGCCATTGCCCCAAGCCTAAGTCCCCAAGTCAGGCCACCTAAGCTGGTGGATGCTGCTCAGAGGTTCCTGGCACCTATGGAGGAGGTAGTGGGAGGGAGAAGGACAACTCCTTTGCCCCCACAGGCCCCACCCAGCTTCCTCTGTGGAGAGATTGTCCCAGGAGGGTAGCAACCCGACCCTATTTCTTCCCATAAAAAGCCCTATTTTACGAGCCGGTTTCACTGGCCCCCTCACCAAATGTTCCAAAATGAAGGAAATGTCTTAAAAGCAGTCTGGAAATGGAGCCGCTGCTATTGGGCTTTAGTTTCCTAAGCCAGTTGTAGTGGCACAGAAAATACCTTTTCTGGGCGGGATTGCCCTGTTGGGCCACCCAGATCTCAGATCTCCTGCCTCACTGCAGAGCTGAGGCGGGTTGACTGGGGCCCTGATTCTCTGGCTTTAGCTCCTACTTTAAGGCTCGGACCTAGTCTTCCTGATCAAAGTGAGCTCACGGCATTTTTATGAGATCAACTTCAGTGACTCTTTATTAGCGATCAGATGCCTGGGTTGAAAATGCAAAAGGAAACAAACAGCTAATCAATCCAAAAAGGAAAAGGAAAAAAAGAGAGAGGTGGGAAGGCATGGGGTGAAAAAATTCAGGTGACACAAAGCAAAAAGATTCCAGTCACCAAAAACAAAAACAAAAAAAGATCTTTTGCCCCCAGCAAGAATCGTTTGTTTGGGATCTGTTCCAGCCTCCAGGCCCTGCCTTCTGCCTGCACATTCAGCCCTGATTTCCGGAACCTGGAAGCCTAGGCAGGCAATGGGGAACTCTGACTCGCCTGTGCTCTGAAGCTTGATCCGAAAGCTTCCACAGTGAGGACTGCTGTGTAGGGTGAGTGTGGTGGCCTATGCCTCCTTGCCCCAGCAGGGAAGGTGCCTTCTGCTCAGGATTTACAAGTCTCCCCCATTTTGTTGCTTTCCTCTCTGTGGGCTCAGTGGCTTTCTCCTCACTACAGTCAGAAGTTGAGTTACAGGAAGATTCACCAGAGATTTATCGCCTGGCCCCAAACTTGGAGAGCCTCGTTGTCATAAACAGCCGTCTATTGTCTAGACTTTTATCTCCGGGTATGGATCATGCATTAGCGAGGCTCAGGAGACATGGGGCTGGCTCTGTGGGGTGTTTGTGCAGCCGGTGCCTGCCCCCAGGCCCCAGGGGTTTCTTTGGGTCAGTTTATGAGAGTGCACACATTTGTGTATGCTCTTGAAGCTGGGCAGGTACGCCTGAGTGTTCACGAGTGGAGGCCCAAGGTAGGGAAGTCTCTTTTTCTCTGTGTCTGGGAACATTCCGGTGCGTGTACTTGTGTGTTGGGTGAGAATTTGTCATGGTATGCTTTGTTTCTGGGGCATTTTAAGTGTTCCTGCCTGGGCTTTTTCGGGTTTTATTAACTTGCATCCGCTTGGCCTGTTTATGTCCCTTCCAAGCAGATCATCTGGTGTTTTTCAATATTAGACTGCATTGTGTGTATTTGGCTTCTCTGAGGAAATGGTTTTGGGTGATACCTTCCCAGGCTCACTCCCTCAGATTCCCCCACCCACCCTGAATCGCACCTTAGCCTCTGCCTTCACCAGGTTGTCTGACACGGCCCCACTCTCTGCAAGTCCCTAAATCTCCAAAGTGCCTGCCAATTTTATGTCACAGACATGAAGCACATTTTTGCAGGGTGAAGTCTGGCTATCTCTATCTTTCCCACACTAGGGGGAAGCGTCCAGCTCATAAACCACCTCACTAACTGGGGCTCCCCTTCCCAGACCGAGGGGACATAAGAAAGGGCTTCCCCAGTCCATTTCAACTGTTTAAAATACTATCCATGGTACTCTAGATACGGCCAAAGAGAGCCTGCTGTTCCCTCCCTGGGTCTTCCTGGCTACCCCTCCAGCCCCTTGAGCCCAGGCATTTTGTAACGTAAGTGACACTTTGCCCAGATTAAACGTCTGTGGCAGAGACACTTATCACCTTAGATCTTGGGGTCAGAGTTGCTTTGAAAGCCAGGATCATTTAACATCACCAGAAATAATCAAATCCTCCCCCTTTGTTTTTTATGATGAGAACACAGGGTAAGAGAGCACCAGGCACTGAGGCCTTGGAGCTCCACCAACCAATACCCCTGCTCTTGGCGTCTCCCACCCGGGACTTAGATCCTCAGGTTCCTAATACCCGGGAGGTGCTCTCAATCAGAAAGGTAAAGTGGGGGGGGGGGGGGGGGGGGCAGATCCCAGAGGCCATTTTTCCAGTTGAGGAGGGTGGAGGTGACAACAATTAGAGGCTTTTGGAGCATCAGATTGACCCAGAATTCCCCATCATTGTTTTCTGTGCATCTTTCCCTTCCTTTGCCATTAGAATTTCAATTTAAAAAGCAATGATTAGACCTTAAAATGAGCCCAGAGGAGGCGAAAACGAGCTGTGAGGTCCAGGAAAAAGGTAAGTCCTCCGCAGATATCCCCACACCAATTAATTTTCTTTCCTTCTTTCTCTCTGTTCATCCCCAGCGCTACCCTGGAGGAAAAGGATCAAGAATCTCAGTTCAGGATCCTTCCTCCCTGAGCCTTCTAGCTAAGCCCACTGCCCACCACCAAAGGCTGCTGCGGCGGATCCGGGGCTCTTTCGGTCTCGCCGGCCGGCTGCGGCGCCGCCTTACGCTCCCGGTCTCCCTGTCTCCCTCCATTCTTGCGTCACCCCTCCCCTAGACCAACAAATATCCAATATATTTGTTTCTCCTCACCCCAGGCCTCCTCGCAGCCCGCTCAGCGCTCGGGGATCGCTGCCCCCGCACCGGGTCCTTACGCGCTTTGCTTCCAGTTCCACCGACTACAGCCTCTTTCTTTGCTAGCTGCCCGGGTAAAACGCTTCTGTCGCATTTTCCTGCTTCTCTCCCTTTCTTTCCGCCTCTGGATCTGAGGAATAAATAAAACAAAGTCTCCTACGGCACCAGCCCTCCCCACCCCTGCTGCCTCACTTCTCCTCCTTACCGAGTGTACCGCCTTGTTTTCTGAAGGAAACCGTAACATTCAGACATTTAAGATGTAAATGAACTTTTCTTTATGACGTTTAATTTTCTCTCCATTTCTTAGGTCCTGCTCCGCTTCGCAGTGGAATGGAACGGATTTAGAAGCCTGCAGTAGGGGAGTAGGGAGTGGAGAGAGGGAGCCCAGAGTTACAGACAGCGGCGAGAGATACAGAAGACCGGGAGATACAGAGAAAAAGAGAGGCGGGGGAGGGGAGGAGGAGGAAGGAGGGAGGGAAGGGTTCCCAGCTGGCGAGGAGCGGAGCCAAAGAGAGAAAAAGAGAGAAAAGTTTCCCAAAGTCTTCATTAGTTGATTTTCCTGTCCGCCGCTTTCCCCGGCCGGCTCACCCCCAGTAAAGGAAGGAGGGGCGTCTTTATTTTTTTTAAGGCCCCAAAGAGTCCGATGTTTACAAGACCAGAAATGCCACAGCCGCGTCCTGGCAAAGAAAAGGCTGAAATGGAGGACCGGCGCCTTCCTTATAAGGTACGATGCTAACTTGACCTTCACTTTGTCATGGCGCCCCCGCCCACCCAGACTGCTGCAGGCAGCCGGGCGAGGGAAAGCAATCGCCGACCCTTGCTTCTGCCTCCCTCCCGTCTCTTTTTATCTTTCAATCTTTTCCTCTCGTCTTTCTTATTTTCATTTCCCTCCTTCTGTCTTTTTCTTCGTCTTTTTTCTGTCTTTTCCTTTTCGTTTCCTTCCTTTCTTCTTTTTCTCCTCCTGTTCTTCCTGCCCCCTTTCTTTCACTCATTTCTTTTACCCTTGCCGGCTGGTTTCATAGCTTCCCTGAGTTCTTTCTTGCCTTGTTCTCAGGCACTTCCTTGATCTCTTTCTCTCTCCCCCAGCCTTCTGGTCCCTTCTGGTCTCAAATCCCGGAAACAACAACAACAAAAATATTTTCAGTCCTTCCTGCATCCCTACTCTGAACTGACCTTCACAGCCCCAGCCTGCCTTTTGCCCCACCCAGGTGTTCCTGGGGGTAAGGGGGAAGGCCAATTTAGGATCAAAAGAGGCTTCACTTTGGGACCAGTGCCCACTTGGGGATCATAATGAAATTGGTTTGGATAAGACCCTGTCTTCCTCACATTGGCCCCACCTGCAAAGTCTCTGTGATCCTAGTGGCCTGGGACTGAGAGCAAAGCCTCAGGCTGTGGGGGCATGGGGAAAGCAAATCCCACAGCTCCTGAAACTATGGGGAAGGGAGCAGACTTCAAGTACCCAATTGTGATTCACCCTTCTCTGGCTTTCAGCCCCTGAAATCTTAGAGTTTTCCCTTAAGACATCTGAGGAGGAGATGTAGAGAACTAGGGATTTATACAGATTAACGCATATGTAAAAATAAGATAGTGAAAGACTATAAGGGCCTCTCTCCATCTTGTCTCTTGCTGCCTCCCAGGGTCCAGCAGAGCCTCCAACATTAACTCTAATCATATCTTGTGTGGCTATAAAATAATATTATTGACACCCCTATAATTATCTATTATCCCCTTACTTGTAACGATTACAATACTACAGGAGGCATGTCTATGCTGACAAAGTAAAGCCAAGCAAATATCCTGGAAAATGAAACCAGATCAGGGGCATTCAAACTCGATCTCTTGTGCGTTCTTGAGTATGTTCCAAAATCTATAAGCTCCTGCCTAGGGTCTCCTTGATTTAGGAGTAGCCATTTTGTGGGGCTTAGTGTGATATTGGGAGACCCTACCATCTCCTTTTCCTCTACATCCCATACACCCCTGGCCCCTCCTCCTCTGCACAGACATCAGAGAGGGTCAGACAATAAAAGAGAAATGCTTTCTCTCTCTCCCCCTACAATTATCCGAATAATTGCATGAATTCTTCCTGGAATACCACTGTGTAGTCAGGGTCAGAATTTCAGCAGGAAGTGCAGGGGACAGAATTCCAAATGGGGGAAGCTGAGAGAGTCCTGCGTTCTTACATTCCCAGACTTTATAGTTCTGTCTAGTGTTACATTGTTTCTTCAGGCAAAGATCTTTGTTCGCCTTCAGTCATATTTCTCCCTTCCCCCTCCTTTTCTTTCTCTTTCCCTTCCCCCTTTTTTGAGTCCCTTTAAAGGAGACTCAGATCATCTTCTGCTCTTAATGGATGACTATAAAAGTAAAATTAATTCCCCCCTGCCCTTTAATATCAGTATCTCTCCGTTAAGTATGCACATTGGCGAGAATAAACAGAATTAAGTGCTGCAACCCAAACCAGCAATTACACCCAAGGTGTTTTTTTTTTTTTTTTTTTTTTTTTTTTAATTTTATTTTCATTGGGTCTCGCTTATCTGGGGGTGTTCACTCTGGCAAGAGATAACCAGGGGGTATTTGTATTTTTTTTTTTTTTTTTTTACAAGCTCATTGGGGCCTGAGCCAGCACCGACCTGGTAGAAAAAGCAACCACGAAGCTAGAGAGAGAGCCAGAGGAGGGAAGAGAGCACCAGACGAAGGTGAAAGCGAACCACGCAGAGAAATACAGGCAAGGGAGCAAGGCGGCAGTTCCCGGAACAAACGTGGCAGAGGGCAAGACAGGCACTCACAGACAGAGGTTTATGTATTTTTATTTTTTTAAAATCTGATTTGGTGTTCCATGACGAAAAGGGAAAATCTGGGGAACAGGAGTACAGAGAGAATTATCCGGGTCCTAGCTCGCCACATGAACGCCCAGAAGGAGAGAACGCTGGAAAAACCTGAGCGGGTGCCCGGGCAGCACCCGGCTCCGGTCAGCCGCTGCCCCACACGGTGCCGGGATGGGCCCACCAACTCCCCCCTCACGGCCACCCGGGCTTCCTTGCTCTTCTTATCATCTCCATCTTTATGACAAGGCTTGTTAACAAGACCAGCGAGCTGGCCACGCACATCTATCTCAACCGCGCCCGCTCAGCCGAGCAGCGGCCGGCGGGGGGACTGGGAGGCGCTAATTAATTGATTCCTTTGGACTGTAAAATATGGCGGCGTCTACACGGAATCCATGGACTCATAAACAATATCTCTGCTGGGCGTGAGTGCACTGTCAAAGAATTTTTCCATAGGCATGTGTCAGAGGGTTCTGGATATTTAGTTGCTAAGGAAAAACCCAAATGGGACTAACTTTAGGAGGCCCAAACAGAGTTCGTTCAGTGCCAGAAAATGCTTCCCCAAAGGGGTTGGGAGTGTGTTTTGTTGGAAAAATCCTTGGGTTATAGCAAAGCCTTTCCATGCTACTTGTGTAGACCCAGCCCAGTTTAATAATTACAAGGAAGCGAAGGGGTTGTGTAGGCCGGAAGCCTTTCTGTCCCAGCTGGATGCAGGGGACTTGAGCTGCTCCGGGATTTGAGAGGAACATAGTAGCAGAGGTCCAGCCTTTGCTTCATGCTGCCTCCTAAAGATTCAAAAACAAATTTTTAAAAGTGAAACCAGCCTTATAGCCTTCGGAAGCTCTTGAAGGCTCAGCACCCACCCAGGAATCCACCTGCCTATTACACGCCTCTCCAAGCCACAGTGGCACCCCTTTTCTAACTGGCAGCACAGAGCAACTCTATAATATGCTTATATTAGGTCTAGAAGAATGCATCTTGAGACACGTGGGTAGCCTAATTATATAATGCTTATTCCATACAGGAGTGATTATGCAGTGGGACCCTGCTGCAAACGGGACTTTGCACTCTAAATATAGACCCCAGCTTGGGACAAAAGTTGCAACAGATAAATAGACATAAGGGAACACTTAAATAAGTAATGCATGTAGACATGGAAGGGGTATTTAAAAGACAGAAATAATAGAAGTACAGAAGAACAGAAAAAAGACTCAGCAGATGGAGATTACCATTCCCAAAGCCTGAACTTCCTCCTGCTATTAAGATTGCTAGAGAATTGTGTCTTATGAACAGTTCATGAACCCAGAAGAATGCAATTTCAATGTATTTAGTCCACACACAGTATGTATATAAACACAACTCACAGAATATATTTTCCATACATTGGGTAGGTATGCACTTTGTGTATATATAATAATGTATTTTCCATGAAGTTTTAAAACGTAGATATATTAATATCTGGATGCATTTTCTATGCACTGGTTTTATATGCCTTATGGAGTATATACTCACATGTACCTAATAGACTCAGGACTGCACATTCCTTGTGTAGGATGTGTGTGTGTGGTGGTTATATGTGTAAATAAAGTTTTACATGTGGTGAATATACATGCTGTATGTAATCTTTCCCCAGTAGGTTACTTTCACATACAGTAGATAAAAGTGCCTCTGTGTGTATATTTTATTTTTCTATGCCAACAATGTACCCATAATAGAGATATCTGTGCATTTTAGACTCTGTTTCAATTTATTGGCAGCACTATGACCAGGTGTGTGTTTATGGAACATCTTTTCCATGCTCTGCATGTGGACGATGCACCTTTTGCAGAGAGCTTCCCAAACAAGGGCTGTTGGTGGGTTCAATCCTCACAGACCTGTCTTTGAAGGAAGTTCTCCACTCTGGGCCAGGTAAACTGACAAAGTGAAGACTTGCCTCCTAAGCGGCTCTGGCTGGAAGAGGAGAAATCACCTGCCGGCAACGGGCTGGTTTAGATTGGCTAAAGGTCCAGCTATATTTGGTCTTGTCGAGGCCAGTTTCTTGGCTCCTATGCCAGGCTCCAGAGGGCGGCCCGGGTCTTAGGAGCCTCCAGGGCAGAGCCTGTAGCGATGAGAAGCCGGGTAGGAGGGCGGGCAGCCGCTGTGGGGACACCGAGACCCGGCAGAAGGAAGGCGCTTAGGATAAAGGTCTAGTTCCCGCAGCCCGGCCAGCGCCTCAGACTCCGGCCGCTCTTGGAGGTCTCTCACACTCACAGGGCGTCCCCCCTGGCCTAGGGTGCTCAGGGACGAGCGACTGGACAGGTCCGGGTCTCAGCAAGGCAGTCTCCACAGCTCTGGCCAGCAGGGGTCATCTCGTCCTTCGCGGGGGCACAGCAGCCCTCCAGAGGAGACCAGAGCTGCCGGCGCTGTCGGGCGCGGGAGCTGCTCGGGTCCCCTGGGGCTGTGGGCGCGCCGGGTTTCCTCTCCCTGGACCCTGGAGAGGACCGCAGCCGGGACCACGACGGTCGGGGAATTGGACCAAGGTCTCACAGCCTTCTCCACAGGGCCGGGATGCTGAGCACACCAGGCGCGAGTCAGGGAGTGGCCCAGGCGCCCGCGTAGTCCACCAGTGGCCAGCGCGTCTTTGTTTCGGGGCCTCGGCTAGAGTGGCAACGGCGAGCACCGCGCAAGGCTGCATCGCGGAGCAGAGGGCGAAGCTGGGGAGACCAGCAGCAGCTGGCGCGGGCCACGGCCTCTCCGCGGAAAACCGGCAGCGCCTTCTCGACCGAGGCATACGCAGAAGGGCGGCGGTTCGGATCAAAGGCTGGGCATAGGCGCGCTGTGGAATCGGGGCCTGCCTTCCACCTCCAGCTTGAATTAGACCGGAACCTTCCGCGCCTCCAGGTGCAGTGCAGGGAGGACTGGCGGCTCCAGAGTGCGTTTCTCGCGTGGCCTGGGGCCGAAAAACCGCTCCTGCTTTCCTGGATATAGCAGGGAGGGTGGGCAGGGGCTCTGGCCTGGCCGGAACCGAAAGTCCCCGGAGTTTGTCTTGTTCGCGGACCGGAGCCAGCGGTCCCTGCTCAGCTCTGGGTCTCAGCCATCGATCGCGCCGGATTTCCGGCTACATTAGCATCCACAGAACCCAGACTGCCAGACCCATCGCCTGCCGGCTCGATAGCGGCTTAGTGGCCTTAAATACTCAGTTTCGTCTGTGCACGTCAGAGTGGAGCAGAATGACTGCGACAATAACAAATACAGAACTCACTCGGGCAATATAAGCTTATACACGCGCAACAGCAGAATTATTGTCTACCTAAATTATCTGGATATTTCTTCCCTTTTCTTGCTCCTCAAAACCCGGCGAGAGACACGGAGTGCTTTGTCTTAAAGTTAGTGGAGTAAATTGTAGTTTAGGGGCTTAAACTGGACAAACAGTTGTAACATAGAGGAAATCCTCACCCAGATGGAGAGCTGCTCAGCTGCGCCCTAAGTGTTGGGATCGCGGTTCCAACCATGACCTCCTCTTTGGCCGGGAGACCCAACGATTTGTTTTTCAGTCGTAAGGAGGAGGCAACATCCTTCTCTGGCAACATCCCCAGTGTTTGCGTTGAGTCTCTGGACCTGCAGAGATACCACCCAACTAGGTGCTTTCTCTCTCAAATTGGAGTGTCTCTGGGAATAAATTAAAGGCCCGTTATTTGCTGCCTTCCTAAATCCCTCTTTTTCTTTTGCCAGAGATGTCCCTATTGTTGATCCTTCCTGTATAGACACATCATAAGAGTCAGATATTCTTTTGCCTGGATTTCCTGGGATTCAGACTCCTCCTACCCTCCTCTATCCAGACCTGGGCTCAACCACCAGGCCCCTCCCCCAGCTCATGGCTGCCCAAGCTACCCGTCTTCAGTGGATGCTGCACTCTGTGGGGCATTTTTATGAGCACCGTAAGGCTTTGGGTCTCCTTCCTGTCCATACCCCTCAGCTTTGCAAAACAACTGGGGATTAGGGGTAAAAAAGAGAATAGTATTTGATCTACATTCACTAGTTTCTCTAATTATAGGAATAAAGAAAGGGAAGGAAAGAGAGAAAGAGAGATTTCAGGGCAGGAGGTTTGTCTCAGAGGCTGGACTTGGTGGGGGCTCCTAGGATTCCGGTACAGGCTCAGGAGGGTGAACGAGGCATTTGGAGGAGACTCCTTTGATAGGAGCCATACCGTTAGAAAAGGGGCAAGGGGAGGGAAGAGGCAAAAGGGTGAGAAAGAGAGAGGGCATTTCTTACCGAAGGCAGGGGTAGGTGGAGGTGCAGAGGGTTCGTGGGCACATCTGGACTCTACTACTGGCCTGGGCCTGGGTTTACCTCTGGCATGGCCTGGAGAGAGTCGCTGGCTTCAAAAGGTGGAGCCTATTTTGCCAGTTCCAAGGGATCTTTAGCCCCCTCTCAACATCTTGCAATACACAGTGTCATCTCAGAGTGAAGCCACAAGATTAAGATCATAGGGTTGAAGCTCTAGGCCCACCAACCCCACTCCATCTCAGCCCCTGGATTATGGGTTACTCTCACTGCCCCAGTATCCAGCTCAGATCACCAGTGCCCCTATCCCAGCTTCTATTTGTCAAGTTCCTGCAGCACAGACCTCCTTTTCTGAAGCTAGTTTCAACCTCCTTTAGGCTGTCCACATTATTTTTATAGCCTCATGACTCCTCAAAGCTCCCTCTCCTCCCCCAAGTCTACTACCGCCCAATTTTCTCTCTGCTATAATTGCTTGGGACTGGAGATGGTAACTCATCAACAGATCTTGGTTGCTTATACATTTTTTGTTGCCCCTGCAACCACTCTTCCTGTATTATTATTATATATTTATTATTTTTATTATTCACCTGAGCTGGAGAAAATAGAGTGGAGGACAGCTAGGAGGCTGGGACTCCCATTATTTTGGGGTAGAACTTTTGTTTTCAAAAAATCACATAATCATAATTCATGTTTTAATTATTATTATTATCAATATTAATATGATGAAACAACTCTGTACAAGGACTATATAAAGGGAAAACGTGCTAAAGACAGATGTTTGAATAGAAGAGTACACCACAGAGAGCTAGGGAGGCAGCTAGGGGAAGGGCAACTATCCACGGGGACTACACTAGGTACCAGCGACAGACACAGAGAACAAGACACAGATTGACAGAGAAGCTCACAGAAGTCAAGTTTAAAGCACATGGAAAGAGAATATTGCATATCTTTGTCCCCTCACTCCTTTTGGAGTGTTCTGGTCTCTCTTCTCTATTAGGTTGGGAATCAGGTTAGTTTGGAGTGGTAGAGCTCAAATCCAGCACCCTAGAGCCCAGAGGTCACAGGAAGGGCTGCATAAAGGGGGTACAGTGGGTGACCAGGCAAGGTGGGGAATGCTTCATGCCCAGGGGAAGCCCACAGGAGACTGCAGACAGCTGGAGTAGTGGTAATTTGGGGGAACTGGTACATGGGTGAAACAAGTATGTGTGGCTGGGAAATTGTCAGGTGTCAGATATCCAGCGGGGGATGGAGGCATGTGATTGTATATCCACTCTGCTGGGCCATGTGGGGACTATGAGGCTGCCTGCTTGCAAGTGCACTAGGGAGGGTCAGGTGGGCCCTGTGCTGTGCTGGGCTCAGCTGTGTGTATATGTTTGCCTTTGCCTCTCCCTGTACAGAAGCTCTGTGCTGGTGGGAGAGTAAAAAGCTCGGTGGATTGCCCTTGGAGAGTTTGTTAGAGGAGACTCTCCCCATATGGGAAACACTCCAAGTCAGCAGGCCAGTTTCACACTGTCCAGGCTGCAGTTAATTCCCATCAGTGTCCTGCTTCTCACCCCTCTTTCTCCTGGAAAGGGCAGGACAGCAGATGGGAGGCTGGGGGACACTTGGGGAGAAGGATAAAAATGAAGTGCAGAAAGGTTGATGGTTCTCTCACTGCTCCTTTCTCTGAAGCCAGCCCAGCATCTACTGGACTGGGGCTGGGGTCTGAAGGAGTCTGGATGAAAGGCCTTCCCACTCAGAGAAGCCATTCTCAGACCTACAATGGGTTCTAGGGCTGCGCCCCTCCCTCTGCTCTGGTCCATGTGCTAGGCTGTGGAGGTTTGCGGGCCAGGAGGCAGAGGCAGCCAGTCTGAAGACAAAGGGCAATGTTGGAGGGGTGGGCGGGGAAAAGAGAGAAGGGAGTTGGGTGGGGGGCTGCAGCACCCCCCTCCTTCATTGTCACCGGCCTGGGAAACGGGCTGAGTGGGGCCTCAATGGCTGGTAGCCCCTTTAAGGGAAGAATTCTCCTCCCGCCTCATAAATTACTCTGGTCCAGCCTCCATCGGCCATGACCATGAACGCCAGCCGGGAAGGGAGAATCAGAGGCTTCCGCTGCGGCTGCCAGAAACTCGCCCGGCCAATCAGTGTGGTGCTCTGTAGCCCCATCTACAGCCACTTGGACTTTCTTTCTGGAGAGCCAGGTGGGGACCTCTGGGGTGGCTACTGAACCTGAGGCTGTGTCCTCTGGGCTCTCAGGTCCCTGCTTGCTGCATGAGGTCCGCAGCCGCCGCAGGCAACGAAACAGTGGATGGCAGCACACCTGTGAACAGACGTTCGCCCAGTGCGGGCAGGGGGCTCAGGA